GGCGCCCGCCTTTAATCCCAGCACTCGGGAGGCAGAGGCAGGCGGATCTCTGCGAGTTCGAGACCAGCCTGGTGTACAAGAACTAGTTCCAGGACAGCCTCCAAACCTACACAGAGAAACCCTGTCTCAACCCCTGCCCCCCAAAATAAAAGGAGACGTTGTAACTGAATACAGAAATATGTAACTGGGCAGGAGAGAGATGCATGTTTGTAAGAGAGATTTCAAGAAAGAGAGACTATTAAATTGAAGGTCACCATTAGGAAAGTGTGTGCTTTTTTCCCCCCCTCCAACAGAAAAATCTAGCAACCATGAGATAAGAGTTTTTCCTAAGTCTTGCAACTCTGAGGCTTTGTCTTTATTGGTCTGGAGCAGATCTGGGAGCTGGCCTTCCTACACCACTGCCCTCTACTGTCTCACTCTCTGCCTCTTTCTGTCTGCCTTCTTCCTCCCTCACCACCATACTCTGAACAAACATAAGCTAATTTTTTCAGAGCCAGACCCATTCTCAAAACACATGATAAGTCACGAAGTTTCTCTCAGGCTAGGAATGTCACATTCCCCCATGCACGTAGCTTTAAGTTGGTGAGGGTTCCCAGACAGAAAATGCCATTGGAAATCAAGACTCAACAATAACAATTATTTAGCCAGACCTTCTTGAGCCTGAGACTGGGATCATGTGCAGACTGAAGTTGTTTCAAGCTCTGACTTTGAATCAGCAAAAACGACACCTGGGAAAAGACCTTGTGTATTTGTCTCCAGGTGCAACCAACCTGCTTTGAATTTTCTCTGAAGTATAAAGTAGCTGTCTGTGTAAAAGGCTGTCTTTGTGACTGAGAATCCTCGGTCAGTCTGAATAATGTAAAATATCCTACTGTTATTTCAATTCATCAAAATTATACATATTAAGCACCATCTTCCTGACTATCCACAGTTACATGTGTGCCCAGTAGATGGGATATTTTCATGAGATAATCACACAAGCAGTGGGAATACACCCAAAGCTGTTCTTAGGGAAGAAATGGAGTCACCGTGAGAGAAATTATAGACGGGAGCAACTGGTTTCCACAGCCCATGACTCCATTGCCTTGACAAGTGGGGCTCCCCACCAGGGAACCATGCGTCTGATGGGTCTACCCACTGAACACTAATTGTCACCTGCTGTATACTCTCACAGCAGCTCTCAGCAGCTAATGGACAGGGATGAGGTCATTTTTACATCCTCAGGCATGCAGGGAAACCAGAAGTGATGTGACTGCTGGGCTCAGGGTCATCACGCCCTCTGAGTTACAGCACTTTATTCCTGTTGTTTCAGTGTGGTGACCATGGCAGCTCACATGCTCCTTCTCTGAGTTGGTCTGGGCACTCCCCCGCTCCTGTGTCTGTTCCCACTACTCACCTCAGATGTGCCGGCATCCCTTTGCCAACTGGTCTGCTCAGGCTTGGAAAGGACTGGTGCTCTGATAGCTGTTTAGACTTAGTAAAAATGGAGGTTGGGGACATTTAGCACTTACGTTTCCTTTTACAGATGGCTGCACAGACATCTTCAGTTTGGAAGCTGTTAAGATTCCCTTGGCAACCACCATAGATGAATTGAGTACAGGTATTAGTTTCTATATCATACCACCAGCGTGGAAGGTAAGCCATGCAGGGCCCAGGCTCCTGTGGCAGACTGCATACATCTGTGGGAAAATCATGGGAGACAGATGTTTGGATGCCTGTCTCCTAGAGGACAACCCCATCTCCTTCCTCTGTCCACTGCTCTCTCTGTCTAGCTCAGAGCTGAGCTTCCAGTTCAATGAGACGTCTGACCAGTCACTTCAGTCTCTTTGGTCTCCGTTTCCTCACCTGTAGGATGATAGCACAAAGTACCACCTTGTTTGTCGGAATAGGACTGTCACAGGGGCAGATGTGGCCATTGCACACAGCTCTTTCATTGTCTTTCCTCAGCATCTGAAGCATGACCCATAAATGGCCCTCTTTTCTTTCCTTTCTGCCAAGAATGGTCACCATCTAAGTTCAAACAAACATCTCCAGTCTACTGGACATCAGGTTCCAGAGTAACAGATCCACTAGCTCAGGACCAAGTCATCTCCCAACCCTGAAAGTCCATGGCCTCCCTCTCCATAGCTTCTCTCTTGTGCAGCTCCTAACACTCATCCGTTCAAATCACGTTTGAAAGTCACCCTGTTCTCCTGCCTCCATGCCTTCACACCTGCTCAACTCTAGAGCTGCTCTTGCTGGCCAGGCACACTCCTATTCATTCTTCAAAACCCTTCGAGCAGCCAGGTGTGGTGGCAATTTGCCTGCCATCCCAGCACCTGGGAAGCTGAGGCAGTGATTTCAAGATTGCCCCGAGCTGTGTGGAAGACCCCGACTCCAATTTCTAAACACTCCCAGGCGTCAGTGCCTTTCTGATGTCTCCTGGGCCCATGCTTTACTCCTTGGTTTTCATGCATCCGTTTTAACTCTGTGATGAAGATTTATGGTGGGTTTATCCATATTTTCTGACTGCTGGAGAATGTGAGCTCTTCATGGGCAATGACTGTTCCTTAGCCTGGTACAGCAGGTCTGAGCAGATCATTTGGCAAGGAATAAAGATTTCAGGAATGTTCTCAGAAAGAAGGCAAGAAAGAAACAAGGAAAGAAGCAAAGATCCCAAACTTAAGCATTTAACGAACAATTGACCCCCACTGAAAGATGCCATCACAACTGCACAAGTTTAGCTATTAAGGTGTTGCCCGTGGGGTTTAGCATTGACGCATGTTCACATTTCCTCCTGTGTGGCAGCCCCCTTACCCTCCTCATTGTGCAGGTAGAGGACATGAGACTTGGAGAGGTGCCGTGGCTCTGCTGATGTCACATAGCTGGTGAAGGAGTTAAATGTAGATGACCCACCAAGTATGCTAGTGCACACTTAGAACCGAGACATCAGAAGGCTGAGGCAGGAGGATGTCAAGGTTGAGGTCAGCCTTGATTCCTTGGTTCAGCAACCAAAACCCAAGCAGACCACAGTCAGAGGTTGGGATCCCAGGAGGATCAAGTCCACACCCTGAGTGCAGTTTGTCCTTCTCTGCTTGCCAGTATTTCCAGGCCTGATCATGTCTCCTAACACAGGGCCTTCCAAAGAGTGCTTGCTGGTGTCTGGAGGCTACTCCTCCCTGTGTTTGCCTGCATAGGACCCATCCTTCAGATTCCAAGTCCTATGTGCTTCTCCCAGGAAAATCTTTGGTGGCCACAGTGAGTAGGTGGAGTCCATCATCGGGGTCACTAATACCCCTAAATACTTGTTGATTGATAAGATGGGTGAATAGTTTTGACAGTCTTTTGTAGAGCTCAAGGATATGAGCAGAAGAGAAAAGAGTATAGGAGGCTAATTTGATAAGGGCAGGCATCCTGGGTTTTATGTTAGTCTGAGGCCTGGACAAACAAGCCAGGGAAAACCCTACGCCTGCTTCAAGCTTATGCTGTAATCAGACATGCTGTCCTGTTTAAGGAGACTTTGGTAGTTACTTGGCATCTTGGAACAGCACCTGAGGGTAGCCAAGGGGTCACATGATTCAGTAACAATATCCATCTTATGCAAGGGATAACTGAGGTTCAAAATGGAACTGCCTGCTCTAGATAAAAGTCTCACTGAGAGCACTTACTGCCCTTTCAGAAGACCTGGGTCCAGTTCCCAGCACCCACATGGCAGCTCACACCACTTATGTCACTAATTCCAGGGGACATGATGCCCTCTTCTCTCCTCCATGGACACTGGACACATTTGGTGTGCATACATATATGCAGGCAAAACATTCATACACATAAAAATCGTAATCTTTTTAAAAGAAAAAGTGATATTGTTCACTTCATATACTGAAATCGAAGAAAAATGAGAAAGGACAGTGTCCCTGTAGAGCACTGTCAAAATCTGCACCAATCAGCTGCTGTGAGGATCTTTGTGAAACAATAACCCTCAGTGACCCAGGAGAAGAGACAGTAGTACCAGGATAGGAGGACAGGAGTCGTCCAGCGGACCAGGCAGGTACCTTCGGTGGGGTCCACGCATTTCTTCCCACACGCGAACATGCAGCATTTCCTGTTGTCTGGGCACTTTCTGATCCTTGTGCAGTGGCTGCTTTCTTCGATTTCACACTTTACTCTGTCTCTTGGGCATAACTCTATAGCATGAGAAGGTGTGGTCCCTTGAGGTGTTGAAGGAGATACTGTTCTCCCTTCCGGGTCCCAGGGCATCACTTCGGAGCTGAGGAAGCTTGTCTGCCCCTCAGCTGTCACTAGGACGAGGTAACCCTCAGGGTTTCACAGCACAGGCCTCAGCTCCACTGTATGACTCAGCACCTAACCCCCAGGACCTTCCCTAGCCCTCTCTCCACCACCCACAAGAGTCCCCTGCAAGAGGGACCACTCTTTGGAACTGCTCTGATCATTTGGCTTTGTCCTTGGTTGGCCCCTGTAGCTCTCACTGTTTGCCTAGATTGTTGTCCTGAAGGTGAATGGAGCAAAGTTTGAAAAGCTTTGGTCAAGACGCCTGGGCTAAAAGCACAGAGACTGATATTGACGAAGCACTTGCCGAGCACATGGCCTTTCTCCTTCCTCCTCGCTACACAATTCCCAGGGAGCCCTCTGTGTTCCACAGTGGACAGAGGCATCCACAGCAAGGGAGGCTCTGTGGACGTTCACAGGGCCCTGCAGCTACCAAGGAGTGGACCTGGAATTCCCACCTGTCACGTGGCCTTCGAAGAGCTCACTTCCCCAACTACCTTCTAGTGCTCAGTGTGTTTTAGCGGGTAAGGGTGACGTCTCCAACTTCACCATTGAAGGGACCCTGGAGGCTGTTCCTTAGCGCACAGGTAAGGTCCTGTGTGGACGCAGGACAGCTTTGGGGAGCTCAGTGGTGGTGAAGGGAGAGGCTCATCCCTTAAATGAAAACCCATTGGCTATTTAACCCCCAGTGTCCATTTAGTGCACACTAGCCCTGGCACCTCCATGAATAATTCCTTATAATTGTGGGGACTCAACTGCCACAGACCGAGGATGCTGTGTTCACCCAGGACATCTTCCAGGATGGTGGGAAAACAATGATCCCAAGCATCTCACTCCCACCCAGGGTCCGGGGCTGCAGTGGGAAAACAGTCCCATGTGCAGCAGGTTTTGTTCTTTAGCCCCAGGAAGTTTCTTCTCTCTATGATAAGAACTGTACCCCAGTACTTACCGACAAAGAACCCCTCTGCTAGCTCAGGTTCCCAGATGCCCCACGGGAAGATGAAGGGGACCAGGAATGCCAGGACTCCCCAGAGTCTCATTTTAGGAAGCAGTAGGCAGGCTGGAGGTCTTAAGCTGGGAGGAGCAGGTCAGTGGCTCTGGCCTCTGCTCCGTGGCTCTGTGTCCCAACCTCCTAGGAAGCACTTCTGGACAGGAGCCAGTCAAGTTCCCTCCCAGAGGCCATCAGTGGCCTAACTGTACCCACAGTGCACACTGGAGGAAAGGTCTCTGACTCTGGTCTGGGACTCTGAAATTGGAGGGTCTCTGGCTCTCTGGCCTACTAGGGAGAAGACTGCAGTTGCTTGGGGTCTTCTAGAATCTCTTGTCAAAGTTATGTGAATTCTAGAACCTTCCATTTCCTGGAGGCAGATTACAGTTTGGTGATATCCTAGTCCTTTTTCTCCGTGATTCCTCTCTTCTTCAGTGTTTTTTTCATTCCTTTTCTCTTACCCTCTTTTCCCTCCTCCATTCTTTCTTCCTTCCCTCTTTCCCTTCCTCCCTTCTCTCCACCCCTCTCTATTTCTTGAGACAGGGTCCCATCGATCCCAGGCTGGTCTCAAACTTACCACGTAGTGGAAGACTGCTTCTTCTGCATCCACCTCCCCAGTGCTGGGATTCCAGACCTGCATCACCTCACCTGGTTTACGTGGGGCTGGGGGTGGGGCTGGGGGCTTCATGCACTCGAGGCAAGCACTAGACCAATCAAGTTCAGTCCTGCCTTGGTTGCTTCTTGTCCTCAGCTCTGGCTAATTATCTGTCTTTTTACCCCGTGCCTCCTCCTCCTATTCGGCGACTCTGCCTGAGCCTTTGTCTTCTTACCCTTCAACTCCCTTTGGTTTTTCTCTCTCTTGTCTTTGGCCCACTTGCCTTCTTTTGTCACCATCCAAGGGTAAAGACTGTCAGGAGAGCACAGACCTAGGGTTCCTGGTGAGCATGTGGACAGATGATGTTGTCTCAGAGACAGGGAAGTGGTGGCTCTCAGGGCCTCTGTCACAAGAGCAGGTTAGCAGAGGCCACTGAAAGCAATGGCTCAGATTCAGCTGCAGGAGGCACCAAGTGGCTCTCTGATATTTCTGGAATATTCATTCCCTCATCTCAAATCTTGGCGCCTTAGTGAGAGAGTGGATGCAGTGTGGACACATGTGAGCAGTGCAAGGGGAGACTGAGGCAGGGACTGCTGGCTGTAGCCGGATACACTTGACTCACCCAGGACTTCATCTGAAGCTGGGAGAGACGTTTCCAAGGCATCCACTTTGAAAACTGTATAGAATTCCTCCAGATAAAATCCACCATTTTCAGGTCAACAATATGGAATCTGTCTTATTTCTTAATACATTCATTTGACTGTGGGTCATAACTACTGCTTCCAAAATGTTATCACTGTAGTCGTAAACCCTGGTTCATGAGCAATCACTCTCTAACCTTTAACCCACTCCAGCTCCTGAGACTGCTCCCCAACTTATAGATTTCCTTTTTCTTTGCCCATAGTGTGTTTTCAGTTCAGGGCCTCACACAAACAAATGCTCTACCTCTGAGCTACATTCCTAGCCCTCTTTTTCCGCTTTTTAAAAATTTTGAGACAGAGTCTCACTACCTTGCCTCAGCTGGCCTTGAATATGTAATCCTCCTGCCTCCTGAATATCTGTTACTACAGCCCTGAGTCATCATGCCCAACTCCTGTCCTGGATATTTCTTCTATATGGAGTCGTATATTAAGGTGTGGGGGTGGGGGTGGGTCAGAAAGCAATCTCGTGTGCCAGTTTTCCTCTTCATCTGGGCTTAAGGCAATCTCTTTGCAGTTTGTTGCTGTATTGTGTATTCCAGGGCAACTTCCCACGCCTTCTGAGGGTCTGGACTTAAGTCCCCATGGTGAGTGTTTTACCTGTTGCCTTCAATCTCCATTTCCCTAAGTATGCCTTCCAAAGAACCCAAGCAATGAAAGCACAGTAAGTTTTAATATCTTCGTGTGTCATGGGGAATCACAGTTAATAATATGTGCTGTAGTTTTCAAAGTTGCTGAGAGAATAGGTCTGATGTTCTCACTACATACAATGGTTATCTCAGCCAATGATATATTAATTATCTTGAATTGGCCCACAATGCACAGTCTTCACATATCTCTCTACCCTATAAAATGCACAATTATCATTTGCCCGATAAAATTTAAAATAAAAAAGGTAATGTGTAAGATGTTCCAAAAGTAAGAGCTATGTCTCAATAAAAAAAAGAAAGCACATGTTGAGAAATGAGAATTCTAAGAAAAAGAAAGATGAACTACATCTAATTGAAATCGAGAAAAAGAACAATATTATCCCAAACACTGAAAACTAAAAGACAATGTATTGTGGTAACTATATGAAGGACTTAAAAAGTAAGTTTATTGATGGCATTCCAGACACATTCTTTTCACTTGGAATCTTAATTCTAGGCTGGACAGCTAGAGGCACAGTGGCTTATCATAGGCTTGTCCCTTGAGTGAGACAATCTCTGAACCTCTGGGTCTTTATTCTACCCACCCCCACCCCCACCCCACTGCCATGTGCCATGTATGTGCATATGTATTCATGTGTATGCACAGGTTGAAAGCCAGAGGACAACCTTGGGCATTGTTCCTCAGGTGACACCCATTTTTTTTTTTTTGGAGCAGGTCTTTCTCTGGTCTGGAACTCACCAAGTAGGCTACACATTAGTGTTAGATCTTGGACCCTGGGATCCCCTGTCTCTTCCTCCCCAGGTCTGGGATTACAAGTATATACCACATTCCTGCTCCCATCCCATGGGCTCTGGAGATTGAACTGTGTACTCAGGCTTGCAGAGCAAATGCTTTCCCCTGAGATAGTTCTTGGCAATTCTTACCCAGCTTGTCTCTGATTGGCTTCCATGGACCACATACATCCTCAAGAGAAAAGCTTAGAATTGTCCTGTTGTTTGAAACCTAGAATTTTCCGTACTTCAGTGATATATGAGAGTTAGAGACATATTTTTGTCATTGTTGTTTTGTTTGTTTTTGTTTTTCTGTGAAGGGGTTTCACTGTGTAGCCTTGACTGTCCTGGAACTCGCTATGTAGACCAGGCTCTCCTTGAACTCAGAGATCTGTTGCCTTTGCCTCCTGAGCACATGCACCACCACGCCTGGCTCAAGACATGGTTTGTCACAATTAGCTCTTGAGAGAAGAGGTGTCAGTGAGATAGTTCACAGGGGGAAGGCTTTTGTCACACAAGCTTCACAACTGGAGCTTAATCCCCAAATCCATACTTAGGAGAAGCAGAAAACCAATTGTACAAAGTTGTCCTCTGGTGCCCCCACAGGCACCCCTAGCCAATGGTAATCATAATCACAATAAAGTTAAAAGAAGATCCCTGCAGATTGCAGGTCCCTTAACTTCAGGAAGAAATATGGAATCCACACAAAATGTCCCTAAGTCCTTCTGTGTGTTGTCTGTAGGCTAAGTGTACCCTAGCATGAACAGAAACAATCTTGTCAAATCCATTTTTTCAAATGAGCGAATTGAAGCAAAACCAGACCATATTGAACTAATGAATTAATAACAGAGGCAGGACTAGTTTTTTTCATCCCTCATTATTATTGTCAGCCACCCCTTCATTTTACATTTTTTTTACTAATTTATTTTTTTCATTCCAATCCCAGTTCCCCCTCCCTCCTTACCTCCCACTCCCCCTTTCCCAACTCTTCCCATCTGCTCCATGGACAGGGTAAGCCCTCCCCCAGGAAGTCTACTAAGTCTGTCCCATCATCTAGTTGAGGCGGGGCCAAGGCACCTTTCCACCCTGCACACCCCTGTGTCTAGGCTGGGCAAGGTATTGCTCCATATAGAATGGGCTCCACTAAGTCAGTTTGTGCATTAGAGTTAGATCTTGGACCCCACTGACAGTGGCCTCATATATTATCCCAGTCACACCATTGTCACCTATATCAAGGGAGTCTAGTTTGGTCTTATGCAGGTTTCCCAGTTGTCAGACCTGAGTCAGTGATCTCTCACTAGCTCGGGTCAGCTGATTCTGTGGGTTTCCCCATCACGGTCTTGGCTCCTTTGTTCATATTATCACTCCTCCCTCACTTTGATTGTACTCCAGGAGCTTGGACTATTGGCCCATTGGTTAGTTGTGGATTTCTGCATCTGCTTCCATCTGTTTCTGGGAGAGGGTTCTAGCTTCTCTGGGGTTGTGGATTGTAGGCTGGGTATCTTTTGCTTTATGTCTGGTATCCACTTATGAGTGAGTACATACAGTATTTGTCTTTCTGGTTTTGGGTTACCTCACTTAGGATCCACCCCTTTTTTTGATACAGGGTCTCATGTAGCCCAGGCTGGACTAACCCTTTATGTAGATTTGGATTCCTGATCATGTGGGAGGCCCTGGCTCATCAGGTAAAGGCACTTACCTAAGTTCTACCCCTAGGACTCACGGAGGAAGGAGAAAACAGACTCCCAAAAGTTGTCCTCTAACCACTGTGACATGCTCACCTGCACACACACACAGACACAAGAGACACACACATTAAAAAATGTAAAAATACATAAAGGACAGGAGGAAACAAGAGGAAACTGGCACTTGAACGGGGGATTGTCTGTTTGTCAAGTTGTCTGAATTAATCATAAGATGCTACAGTTGTGTGGACCCAGAAGGAATGAGAAGAATCTCTTTGTTAACAGGTCATTGCGGGGGGGGGGGGGGTGTGTGTGTGTGTGTGTGTGTGTGTGTGTGTGTGGGTGTGTGTGTGTGTGTGTGTGTGTGTGTGGGTGTGTGTGTGTGTGTGTGTGTGTGTGTGTGTATGTCTGTGTGTGTGCATACATATGCCTGTGTGTGTGTATGTTTGTGTATGTGTAGGTATGTGTATATGTCTGTGTGTGTGTGCATACATATGCCTGTGTGTGTATGTTTGTGTGTGTGTGTGTGTGTGTGTGTGTGTGTGTGTGTGTTTATATACATGTTCCTGTGCTATTCTGAGGCACTGTACTGCTTGCCCAGGTCTCTAGACAACCTCATGCGGGCTTTCCCTGTCATCAGTGGAGCAAAGCAAGCATAGGAGAGCCACCCAGCAATTGTTCCAAAGGAAGCCCTGTGATGATTCAAGTGTGACCTCTTACCCAGAGTGAGGCAGTGGGAAAGTGACCAAGAAGGACCAGGTGCAGGACTGTGGCCAAGTATGGGGTGCCATAGAGAGTCCTGAAGTGATGACCCCAGACCTGTCTTCACTGGCTTCCTCAGACAGATCCCTCTGGCTTCCGTCTGTTTTCTCACCCATGCAGTAAGTGGGGCTGGGAACCCTCTCCTCATGACTGTGCTCCCCTCTGACATGCCTAACTCAGGTCCCTGTTCTCCCCTCACACAGGCATCTTTCCTTCCACGGCTCTGCCTGCTCCTGGAGGAGTGGAGCTCTCGTGTTGCTTCTTCTCCTCTCTTTGGAGCAGACTTCAGCATTCTACACCGTCAAAATCAAACGTGTGTCATTCTTCCTGGGAAGTGCTCTTGGGGACTGAGGGCTGGAATGAGGCAAAAGGCTAATGTTGGTTGCCAAGGGCTGGGTTCAGGGTACCAGACAGCTACCTCTGTTTCCCACTCTATGGCTTCCTTCACCTGTTTACCCCAAATCGTTTCCCTAGCTTTCCTCAATATTCGTCTTCAAACTTTTAAAATGTAATTATTCATTATGCATGATCTGGAAAAAGAGGGTACCAGGGAGGATGCTATTGCAACAGTGGAGGCAAGCATAATGGGAGACCCGTAAAGATAGACAGAGTGAGGAGAGTGGTGGGGGGACTTAAGAAGCAGAATTGACCAAATTCTGAATGGGTCCGGATCCGGGGTCAGGGGAGTAGAGGTAAGCCCTTTCTTCACTGGTGTTTCATAACTGAATTGTTGATGTGTTGAAGGGCAACACAGAGTGCAGAGTGCTTTTAGCCTGCAAGACACAGGTTCTGTGGTAAACATGCTGAAACAAAGGCTTTGGAGAGCCCCTTGAATAGCTTTTCCTTGGATAACTGGAAACAAAGGTCTTCAGCTCAAGATAGAGGATGGGCCTGGGGGAAAGATACCAGAACCAGTCAGAACCAGGGTAATGGACGAACTAAGCCAGGAAGTTCAAGAGACAGCTGAGACCAGGAAATGTACAAGAGTCCTGAGGTGTGTGCACACAAGCTAAGTGACTCAGAAGAGCTGTCCAGGGAGGAAGGAGCGCTCAAACTAACAGGCTGACAAAAGTGGGAAGAATGTACAATAACAAACCCATGCAGAGGTCTAAGGGTCCCCAGGAAGAAAGAGGAAGGCTGAAGTCCACACTAGTAAGGTGGGGTTGGACTTTATAATCTCGAAGATTCCCTGTCTATGCCTCTTGATCTCAGTGAGGTGATTCCACGTTATTTGTTTAGCTTTTCTTTCATTTAAACATAGCATCCAGATGCCTGCTTCAGCATTGCATGGGATATCACTATAAAACAGAACTGCCTAGGCCTTACTTTCTAGAGATTCTGGTTTAGTTCATAGTTCGTATTTTCTGAATGATGCACAAATGTACACTGAGGATGAGAAGAAGCAGCCTTACCTCCAGGCCATCCCTGCTGGGTATGTCAAGAGTGGCGTGAAGGGCAGGAAGCATGGCAGGGGCTACTGAAGTGAGCCTTGTAAATCCCAGACCCCACCTTTTCACTGTGGCATCCTACCTGACATAATCCTGTGATCTGAAGAAACCAGGAGGCTGACACTGACATGTGGGCCTTCTCTTCTAAAGTTGCATAGTTCAAAAATCTAGCAAGGCCCTGCCTCCTTGACTAATTCCTGATGGTAGGTGCTCAGTTTAGAGCCAAGGGGCTTCCGTGTCAGTCACTTGCTGCTATAGAACCTCTATCTGGGGTCGGAAATCTGACAGTGCATCTGGGCTCTCAGATTCTCACCAGGCTGAGAGCACTGTGCCAGTCAGGGCTGCTATTCTCATCTGGGACTCTGGGTCCTCTTCTTGTAGCATAATTATTTTCTTACAATTTTATGTCTGGGACTCTTGTTTCTATAGTGACACCTAGCTTCTAAAGACGATGCTCACTTCTGGTGCTTGCCCTTCTGCCATGGTCAAAGCTGCTGAGTTAGCATGCTGGAACCTTTCCGAAGTTTGAATGTCCCCAACCTCTCTGGCAGCCAGAAAACCCTGCTTTTAAGTGACCCTGTTGGTTGGGTGTGGCCCAGTTGGATTACCTCAATCTAAGGCTAACTGGGTTAGGACTTGAATTGCACCTACAAAGTCCTTCATAGCATGCCTAGATTAGTGCTTAATCCAATAATGAGAGGACAGCAGTATTGAAGAACAACTTTAGAATTCTGGCCACCACAAACCATGAAGCCAGGAAGTCACCCCATGGACTTGAAAGGAAAGAAGCAAGCTCGTAACCGCCCAGATTCCACCCAGCACCACACTGTAGTGAGTGTATGGTGAGCATCATCCATTCAGTTCCTATGAGCAGACTCGGAAGGTAGGGATCGACATTCTCATCTTGAAGATTGGAAACTTATGACTCAGACAATGAGAGGTAGTTTCCAATGTTACTTGTCTAGTTGCTGGTGGAGCCAAGCTAGCAAGGTGGGATCTGTCTGATGGTGGTCCTTCCTTCCTCTGCCCCACACACCATTTTTTTCTTTCTTAGAGGTAACTAGCTCAGAAAGCCCTGTAACTGAACTCAGACTGGTCCTGAGTATGCACAAGATGCCAGAGACCAAAGTCATGACTCCTGGCTCCTATACTCCTTATTAGCCTCCCTGCTGGCTTGGAGCTGGAGGGAGGAGACTTAAGCATTAAAGTCATCAGGTCACAGGCGGCTTTGTCTCCACCTAGTTACATGCATTGGAATCCAAGATGGCTTTCCTTTAGTTACCTGAGCACAAACTCCTGATTCAGCTCTGTCGTAAGGAACCAAGCATGGAGAGAGACACGTGTGGAGGAACTGATTGCTGGGTAGATGGAAGGGGCTGCGGTCTTCACAGCTCACCTTTGCCGTGGGGAAAGGAGCTGAGACACTCAAGGACGTGAGCTCGGGCATCTCTTTCTTGCAGAAAAAGTGGGCGAGTGCCCCGGGAAGCGGTTGGAATGCAAAGATACGGTTCCAAGCTCATGCATAACAGACTTCAACTGTGAGGCGTATCTCAAGTGTTGTTCTTTTGCCTGTGGGAAACTGTGCATGGATCCTTATGAAGGTACTGGCATCCAGGTGGGAGGCAGAGTGCTCTAGAGGTTTCCTGCTTCTTGCTGTGTCCAGAACTGGCAAAACAATCCTCATAGATGGTAGGACCACACGCCAATGTGTATGCCTTTCTCATTCTGTAATTTAACCCTCTGTGGTTAAGTTCAAGTCATGGGTCCAAGTAGTTAATATCGATGCTAGACTTCTCTTGTATGACATTCAATCATTTACCAGTAACTAGTGCCTTTTCTGTGTCCACTATTGTTTGAGAAATGAAGCATCCATCAACCCAGATTCTTGAATCGTTTTGGACCCTTTGGTCTTTAAAGGGGCTTCCTAGAAACCCCAACATACAGGGACCAAACATTTAATAGAGATTCCTTCCTTCCTTCCTTCCTTCCTTCCTTCCTTCCTTCCTTCCTTAATTTTACAAATATCTAATTAATATATTAAGATAGGGGCCAGGCATAGTGGTGCACACCAGTAATACTAGCACTTGGGAGGCAAAGGCAGGTAGATACCTTTGAATTCCACACAGCCTGGTCTATATAGAGACTCTGTCTCAAAAAGACAAAATAAATGAATATATATACTGTAATGATAACTGCGTTCTGTTGCCGCTTTGGGGCCCCCAAATAACACATAGAGTCTTATATTAGTTTCAATGCTGCTAGCCAATGACTAGGATTTCTTATTTGCTAGCTCAGTCTTAATTATCATCCACAACTACTAATCTATATATTTTTATATGGACTTATTGAGGACACTGGCCTTATGTGTGCTCTCTTCCTGGCATCACATGGCGACCCTCTCCCTTTCCTACATTTCCCAGAATCCTCCTCTCCTAGTCCCGCCTAACTTGCTTCCCTATTGGCCAACAGTGCTCTATTTATCAAGCAATAAGACAGACATACACACAGAAGGACCTCCCAATACTATAAAGATAGTATTGGCTTTTCATATCTCAAAATTGAAATTACACAGAAGACATGAAGAAGGATATGGAAACAGGGCTTGGGTAGGTGAAGAGACCTGTGTACTGCTATATGAAAGTGTGTAAGAACCCAAGCTCTCTGTTAACTCAAAGCCATCTGAGACCAACTTTTGATTCTTTCAGCCTAAGACTACCATGAATCCACTTGCTGAACAAGTTGGGTTTATTGTTCATGGCATCACGGAGAATGTTCGTCACAGACCGCCATGAGTAATGATCTGTTTGAGCCCACCAGGGGATTTGGGTAATCCAGAGAGGGTTAGAGAAGCGAGGGTTAGCCCTAAATTGGATATTATCCCAAAATGAGTTAACTCTATAGCTGAGCATCTGTGGCTCTTATCTCCATCTATGGTCCTTATCTCCAAAGAGGATACTTAGGGTGAGGATAATGCCCTCTCAGAGCTCTAGACACTCAGGAAGAGGTATCTGCTCCAGAGTGCTTCTGTATGCTGTTTGTAATGTACTATATAAGAAACTGGTCATGCTCCAGAGAGGCTGAGAAACAGGGGGGACCCTAAGAAAGACATGCATGGTACCCTGGAGAATGGGAAGGGGACACAATCTCCTGAGCGGACTGAGAGAAAGAGAGGGGGAGAAGAGAAGGGGAGAGGAAGACATGGGGGAGCAGGAAGGTTGAGTCATTAGAGGGAGCCATTATATGTTTAAAGAGAAATCAGGCACTAGGGAAATGTCCAGAGATCTACAAGGATGACACCAACTGGCAATCTAAGCAATAGTGGAGAGGCTGCCTTAAATGCCCTTCCCCGATAATAAGATGTATGACTACCTTATATGCCATCCTAGAGCCTTCATCCAGAGACTGATATAAGCAGAAGCAGACACCCACAGCTAAACACTGAACTGAACTCCTGGAACCCAGTTGCAAAGAGGGAGGAGTGGAGCGCAAAGGGGTCAAGACAGAACTGCTGAAACCCATAGAAACAGCTGACCTGAACAAGGGGTGCTCGTGGACCCCAGACTAATGGCTGGGAGGCCAGCATGGGACTGACCCAGAGCCCCTGAACATGGGGGTCAGTGAGGAGGACTCGGCAATCTATGGGGCCTCTGGCATTAGATCAGTATTTATCCCTGGCATACGGATGGACTTTGGGAGCCCATTCCATGTGGAGGGACGCTCTCTCAGCCTGGACACATGGGGGAGGGCCTAGGCCCTGCCCCGGATGATATGACAGACTTTGAGGATATCCCATGGAGGGCCTCATCCTCCCTGGGGAGTAGAGGGGGGTGGGACAGGGAGCTGGTGGGGGGCAGGGGAGGCGGGGAGGGAGAGGAAGCTGGGATTGACATGTGAAGCAGGCTTGTTTCTAATTTAAATTTAAAAAAAAAAACAACAGTGATTGCAGAACTGCACTATGGCAAGCGTTTGCTGTAGAGCAGGACTTGGCCGTATCTTTTTAAAAGATTTGCTGATATTTTATGTGTGTGACTGTCTTGCCTGCATGTATGTTTGCTGGTGCCTGTATAGGTCAGAAGAGGGTGTCAGATCCCCTGGAACTGGAGTAATAAACAGTTGTGAGACGCCATGATGATGCTAGGAATCTTTTAAAAAGAAAATTTGGGGCCCTGGAGAGGTGGCTCAGCTGTTGAAAGCGCTTGTTGCTCTTGCAGAGAACGAGTGTTCAATTCCAGGAGATCTGTCTCCCTCTTCTGGCCTCAGCAGGTACTGCACACACAGTGCAAATACATATCTGAAATAAGAGGGGGTTAAAAGAAAAACAGCTACATTTGTTTATTTTTATTTTGTTGGGGAGGGTGTCGTGGCACATTTGTAGAAGTCAACAGACAACTTGTGGGAGTTGGTTCCTTCCTTCTTGGAGATCCAATTCAGGTCATCAGGGTTGGTGACAAATGCCGTAACTCGCTGAGCCATCTCCTTTGCCCGCCTGTCTTTTTTCACTGGCTTTTTCTGTGAGTAGAACAGTAACGGTGCAGACTGTGATGGAGGCTTGTGACTGGAGCCTGACCTCCTCTTTTCATGCTCATGCTTTACACTCGTGCTTTGTTTCTGCACCTCAGAACCCTGCATGTTGCCCCCAGTCACAGGAGACTGCCGTGACAATCTGAGCCGCTGGTATTTTGACTTTGAGAAGCAATACTGCAGGCCCTTTGTGTACAGCGGCTGTCATGGGAATGCCAACAATTTCCTCAGCAAGAATGACTGCAAGAACTCCTGCACACAGATTGGTAAGACGCGTGCCCGTAGTAGCCTGCGGTCCTTGCTTAACTACTAACTTCATACAGCATAGCTATACCCTCAGACTTTGAGGCTAAGCTGCCTTAGATCCAAACCCCAGCTCTATCACTTGCTGCTTGAGAGGCCTTCAGCCAGCTGCTTATCTTCTTGATTTTTGGCTGGGAAATAAAATGGGGATGTTAACAGTATTTACCTAGTGGAGCTGTTGTGACCAGAAATCAATATATTGTTAAAAATTGTGAGGCTGGGAAATGAAGGAAAGTAAGGAGGCCTCTGGAAGCCAGGCCGTGTCCTGAAGTGTTCCTGTGGGCTGCCCCCTCTCCGTATTCATTTTGGCATGCCTACACAAGGAAGTCTTGGGGTCAGATTGGCAAGGGGAGACATGGTCCTTCCTGCTCCAAGCCACCTCCCATTCAGAAAGGGGGCTTTCTAGTCTCCATGTTAATGCCTCCCTCCCGCCTGGTCTTGTGTTGTCTACAGGTAAACACCTAGACTCCTTGAAACTTACTTCAAAGCTCTTTAGCTTCCAAGTAGCATTGAGTAATCTCAGGAGTCCAGCCCCTCCCCCTCTTTTGGGCAATCAGGCACCTGCCTCGGACTTTCTCTTCCCAAAGGCGGGTTTTTAATACCACTATCCTGAACACTCTGATTTTCCTTGGCCCTTACTCCAGGGCTGAACCCTCCTCTACCAGCTCTCAATGTTATACTCCGGCTACCCATGACTTCTCTATTCTTGAAGTCTCCCCCAACCCCTCCAAATGAGACAATATGAAAATATGCCCATAAACATTGGCCTGTGGAACTTGAAGCCCAGCTTTAATTCTTTGGAGAAAGATGTTCCTCATCACATCAACCTGTTGAGCGTCATCCTGAGGAACCACCATCGGAGGAAGCATAGATAGGTCCATCCCAAAACCCCAGGGAGTAAGTGTAGACCTGGGAGAATGTGGTGAAGTTGAAGCCTCCAGATTCATTCTTCAGTGCAATGGTCAGTACCAATAATGTTGGGATCCAGTGTGCTATGTCAGTGCAATGGTCAGTACTGACAATGTGTGCTCTAGGGTTTATGCAACATATAATGTGGATTAAAAGCATACTCTCCTTGGTCTACTCCAAGTTTCTTTGCCTTCTCGATTCTGGAAGAGCTATCAGGTCCCTGAATTGTTGGCAGGATGTAGTGATGTTTTGTTTATGATCTACCAAATAAAGCTTGCCTGAAAATCAGAAAAGCAAAGCAACCAACCAATTGAGTTCTTACCCTCTACCGAGCTGGGGCAATCCTGTCCTCACCACGACTACAAACTGAATACCCTGTAGTCTTATCTCCACCTGCCTTACACTCCTCTCTAGTGCTGGGATTAAAGGCATGCACCACCACTGGCCAGCTTCTATTGCTAACTAGTGTGGCTGACTAAGTTTTGCACTCTGATCTTCAGGCAAGCTTTATTTGGTAGATCATACACAAAATATCACCTCAGCAGGATCTGTGCTGTCAAAGATATAAAAGGCACGACATACTGGTTCTTCATGGTGTGGCAACTTTGAATCTTCAAAATGCATGTATGTGTCAGCCGTGGAAGAGATGTGACCGACTTATTGACACTGTATTTCTGTCTTCAGTTTTATGAGGCAGGTTGACAAATACTCTATCATCAACACTTTATGTTTTGTTTGTTTGTTCTCACTGTGTAGCCCAGGCTAGCTGGGAACTTGCAGCCATTCTTCTGCCTCAGTCATGCAAGCACTGGGGTTATAGATGTGAGCCACCATATTTGGCTCCATTGCCAACACAGCAGATGAGAGAGCAGAGTTAGAACAATCCATTTAGCTGCCTTGCGATGGACAGTTGGTCGGGGTGGAGCTGAAGTTTTAACTTAATTTCTCAGCCTTGATGAATCTGAACAGCAAAGCCAAATTTATGACCTGACTTGAAAAATCTAGGACCACATGCTTCCCTTTCTGGAAGGCTCTAAAGCATCCGTGGTTCTCAACCCATAGATGAGACCCCTTTGGGGTTGCATAGCAGATATTTAAATTATGATCCATAGCAGTGGCAATGAAATAAGTTAATGGTTGGGGTCATCACAAAAGAACTGTATAAAAGGGTCGAAGCATTGGGAAGGTTGACGGCCACTGCTCTAGAGATTCATGGAGTCATGGACTCTAAGATAATTGGACAATACCTTTGAGAGTCAAACACATGAGGTGTCCTGTAATCCCAGCGCTTATGATGTAGAGGCAGAAGGATTAAGAGTTCAAGGCTGGTCTTGGCTACACAGTGAGTTCAAGACCAGCCTGGGATACGTGTGACCTTGTCTCAAAACACAGAAACTGAAACAAAAGCAAGAAAAAAAAGTTTTTAATTTCAAGTCTGAATCTGACCTGAGAAAAGGAAAGAAGGAAAGAAGGAAGGAAGGAGGAAGAGAGGGAGGGAGGAAGGGAAAAGAAGGAAGGAAGAAGGTAGAGAGAGGGGAAGGGAAGGAGGGAGAGAAGGGAGGGAAGGGAGGGAAGGGAGGGAAGGGGTCCTTCCGTGTTACCTGGGGAGGTATGCATGGGTTTTTTTTCTCTCCATTATAACTCAAAGGGAAGCTTGCACAAATCTCTGGAGCCCTTGACAGCCTGACAATGAGGACAGAGGATGGATGTCTTTACATTCATTGCAACAGGAATTCACACGTCTACCAAAGACAAACTGACAGTGTGAACATTACAAACCTGAAGATGACGGCTTTGTGTTGATTTCCCATAATTTCCTCTATTCTACAGAGATTGAGTTTATTGAGTGACAGGGCTAGGGCTTCAATGCAGGGGCTTCAGATGCCAAGCCCACTCTATGGTGCGGTGAACCCTATGGTTTTGCTCCTCCTCAGCCTACTGGAGATGGTCAGGGCAAGCATAACCAAGGTATAGAAAGTATCACCCTAAGGAGGAGAAGGAGCTTGCTGAGGGTCAGTTGGGGGTTGCTGTAGAACTCACCTTGCGTCTTGTTTCAGTGAAGAAGGGACAATGCCCATTCTTCCCTTTCCAAGTACGAATGGATTGCCCACCCTCCTGCAAGAATGACATGGATTGCCTGGAGAAGGAAAAGTGCTGTGAGTCCAGGTGTGGCTTTGTTTGCTCCAAGGCCTGGCTAGGTAAGGACCAGTAACAAACCTCCTAGAGTCTACTGGGCATATGGCGTGGATGTCATGATACCCCATGAATGGGTAAATGGTTCCTCAGAGAGTGAACTCTCTAGTTGGTCTAGGGTGGCCTGGATCTCATTATAGAATCAAGCCAGACTCAAACTTAACCAACCCCCTGCCTCAGCCTCCTGAGTACTACACCAGCACCTGGCTGGGAGGTGGAGAAATCTCTTGAACCTCAGATGACTCTTGCCCTACTCTTTGAGGGGTCTCGGGACACTTTTTTGAAAAAGGCCAGCTGTGCTCCCATGTTGACCTCCTGGCCTCTGGACCCTTGTACTGTTCTTCAAAACCTCTCTTGGCTTACTTAGTCTGAGTCTTCATCCTTCTGTGACTGAAAATAGATGGTCCAGTGGTAAGTGTGAGCATGTACACACACATGTACACACACACACACACACACACACACACACACACACACACACCCATTAGGTATAACCTGCATCCTGAAGGAGGAGAAATACAGCAACCCAAAAAGAACCTGCTGCTGGGACTGGGAGAAAAATCTCCACAGAGTAGCAAATTTAAGACGTTTTTATCTGAGGGATTTCAGGGGAAGAATGGACCAAGCCTATGATTTGCTTGATGATAGCTCTCTTTACTCTCTCATGATAAAATCTCCCAATTTCTGCCGTATTGAATTCTGTCAGTTTTTCTCATTTTGCCATTCTGCTCATTACTGCTCACAGTAATTTCAGCCATGAAGCCATTCTGCTAGTTTCTTCTAACTTCTGCTGTTCTACTAATTTCTTCTTCCAGTTTCTCCTTTCTCCACAGCTTATAAAGACCCACAAAATCATTCAATCATCTGAAAGTCACATATGATTTCTTAAGTAAATGATAATAAACAGAGTCCTCTCCACAGTTTTAAGCAATAAATCCAGATTAATTGTCACATAGCAAAAAGGATCTTTTCTTTCAGTTAAACTCACTAATTAGTGGGCTGCAACCTGAAGCTGCAAAAACAGGAGTCTGTCTGCTGTCTAATCTATAGAGGTATTCTCTGTTTGTTTTTCGAGACAGGGTTTCCCTGTGGGACAGTCCTGGCTGTCCTAGAACTCACTCTGTAGACCAGGCTGACCTCCAACTCACTGAGATCCTCCTGCCTCTGCCTCCCAAGTGCTGGGATTAAAGGTGTGTGACACCACTGCCCAGCTATAGTCTTATAAAACTCAAATACTAAGGGGAATAAGGAATTGTGTGTTGCACCCTATACTTCTGAATGTATAAAACATCTTAAACATTTTGTGGTTAGTGGTTGCAAAGGCTGGAATTTCTTGTACTGGAGACTATTTATGAAGGGGGGGGGAGCGCAGCTCTGAGCCCAGCTGAGCCAGGCTGTGGCTGAGAAACCCCTAGCAGCACCAAGATGCAAAACGGGGTGGAGGCGAGTTCACGAGTACTCTCCAAAGCACAGTGACATTAAAAAGCATTTTAAATCTTAAGATATATTTTTCTGTCCTATGTGTAAACCTTGACCACAGAAAGAGAAGCTTGTAACTCTTTCTTGAGGCTATGAAGTTAGTTTATATTTTGTAGCTGGCCCTGGCCAGCCATGGAATCTTATCCCATGGTGTCTGAACAAAGGCCATAAAACTGAGGTTAGGAATCTGTGCAAAGAGTTAATTACTGTCCCTTGCACCTCAACTTGGTTACTTCCCGCTATTTACTTTGGCTCAACAAACCACACAGCTGGTGGCTACATGTCCTTGTAAATAAGATTGTATTTTTCTGTGAATATTTTATCTTAAAATCCAATTAGCAAAGCACCTTGTCAGATCTAAAGTTAAAGTTTTCTATCAGTTGATAGTGTGCAGCTCTCTTGGCAGCTGGGGAAATCACAGCTGTTTTCATAAGCTGTGCTCTAGGACAACTCTTAATGGAAACTGATAACTCCTAACTTGGACAGCATCTCTTTGTATTTATTTTACTCATTAAAACTGCATAGGCTAATAATATTAACATCAATTGGACAAAACAACTAAGGAAGAATAATCTTCTTGACAATCCACAGATGGAATGTCCAGTAGATGGAGAATGTACTCATACAATACACACAAAATATATACAGGTTGTGGAAAGGTATGCAAATTAGCCCATGTGTAAAATTACAGTCAGAAGCAACAAATATTCTGGAATCTGTGTATCTCATAGACTTTGCACATGAGTTTCTCTCCATCAGAAGTTAATTCTGGTGGGCTGACACGTTGAATATCAATGGTTATGTCCTGTAATAAATGATAAACACTCTCAGCAGGGAAAGATTGTTAATGCTTCTGAAGCAAATGTCTGCCCCTGGTTTCTAAGCCTGGAAATACATTTAAGTCACAGCAGAATGACAAGAGTCCTTCTGCCTTTCTTCAAGGCTTTGAGCACCGGATAGTCTTCAATCCCCATTGTTTATAAGACGGGAGTTCTGAGGGCCTTCTGAAACTTCTCCCACCTCTACTGCTCTGGGACTGTATAACTCAAGTCCACTAATTATGCAGGGGAGGGGGAATCCTATCATTTACATAATTGCATATGACCTTTCTTGATGATCTTCAAGTTATTCACAGAGAGTTGGCACTGCCTCCTCCACTCTCTTGTTAACTGTAGAAGAAAGGGAAGAGATTTAGTTACAATAAACCCTGGGTTGGGGGGAACCTATGCAAGCATGAGAACCTGAATGTGGAAAAGCCATGACCCCAGTGCTGCCCGGTGGAGACAAGGGGATCCCAGGGGCTCAGTGACCAGCCAGTAGAACTGAAGTGGGGAGTTTTGGGTTCAGTGAGAGATTTTGTCTTAAAAAAATAGAGAATTGGTTGATTGGGGAAAGACATTTTAATGCCAATCTCTAGTCTCCACACACCTGTACAAGCAAGCACACCTGTGTACACACATACACACACACACACACACACACACACACACACACACACAGAATTAAAAACATTATCTGGGTTTCCAAACTTATGTCATATTATTTCAAAGTCAAGTGTGCATTTTTGCTTCACACAGTTAAAACAGGTTTTTGCCCAAGAAAGCCCATGATGTGTATGAAAATCGACAAGCCCAAGTGCTTGCAGGACAATGACTGTCCCCTGGATGAGAAGTGCTGCTCACGCTGTGGACTGAAGTGCTTGGATCCCAGACACTGAACCGTAAGTGGAAAAAAGTACCATTGTCAGAATAATGAATTACGAGTAGCATAATATAAAGCTATCACTTCTTCTAGTCCAACTACCTTGACAGATGATGGCGCCCCATAGGCTTGCTGTGGTTTAAAGACATCTGTGTTTAAGTTTTACTTTTATTTATGTGTGAGCATATGTGAGTATACAGAGATTTGTGTGAGAATGCAACAAAAGTGTCAGATTCCCTGGGAGGGAGCTACAGATGCTTATGAGCAGCGGGAACCAAACTTGCCCTGCAAGCAGCAGAATCTAAGATAGATTCCCAGAACCTAGGTAAATTTGGGGGGGGTGTAGAAGAATGTGCTTATAATCCCAGAGCTGGGGAGACAGAGAGAGGGATCTACGGGGATCACCAGCTGGCTTAATCATTGAGCTCCAGTTCCATGAGAGACCTTGTCTAAAAAACAAGGCAGAGGAACCCAAGGAACAACACCCAAACTTTGCATCTGACCTCTATACATGTGTGCACATGTGTACACAAACACCAGCACACATAGATTTACCTGCAGACACACGTACCTGCACATATATACACACAAGCATGTGCACATGAAATACACAACCACATCCTCATGACCAGGAAAGGATGCAGGAACCTTCCAGCTGGGCTTGATGGCACACCCAGCCTGACACTCAGAAGGTTGAGGCAGGAGGATTGAGATACAAGGCTAAGTCAGCCTGGTCTGCATTGCAAGTCCCAGGCCATCTAAGAAGACTGAGAATCCAGGGAGACCTTGTTTCAAACAAAACAAAACAAAAACAAAAACAAAAACAAAAACAAAACAAAACAAAACAGAAAACAGGCTGGAGAAAGACAGCTCAGTGGGCAAAGGTGCCTGCTGCCAGGATGACCTGAGGTTGATGCCTGGGATCCACGTGATGGAAGGAGAGAACCAACTCCTGACAGTTGTTCTTTGACCTTCACACACACTCCATCATCAAAGAGAAGCCAGGGCAGGAACTCAGTGAAGGAACCTGGAGCGGCAGCTGAAGCGGTGGCCATGGAGGGTGCTGCTTACTGGCTTGCTTTCCACAGCTTGCTCAGCCTGCTTTCTTATATACTCTAGGAAAACCTGCCCAGGGTGGCATCACCTGCAGTGGGCTGGACCCTCTCCATCAAGCACTAATTTAAAAAATGCACTACAGGCCTGTCTACAGGCCATCTTGTAGACAAGCTGACATAAAACTAGCCAGTGAAGGCTTGGGCTTTGAATACTTGCTCCTCACTTGGTGGTGCTGATTTGGGAGACTGTAGAAGTAGGTCTCTGGGGGGAGGAGAATAGCCCAGCTTCTCATTCTAGCCTTGATCTCTGCTTCCTGACCTGCCCAGTGAACAGTCTCTGGAACCCCTGCTAGCTGCCACAGACTGACCCACTCTCCCATGCTCTGATGGGATGAAAGCCTCTAAGCAGCTAGCCAGAGCAAACCTCTGCACTCTGGGCACTTTGTCACAACGCTAATGTAACTAATGTAAGAAACTGCAATTAAATGTAGTGTGGTGGCGATACCTTTAATCCAAGCACTCAAGAGGCAGAGGCAGAGGCAGAGGCAGAGGCAGAGGCAGAGGCAGAGGCAGAGGCAGAGGCAGAGGCAGAGGCAGAGGCAGGAGGATCTCTATGAGTTCCACGACAGCCTGGTCTACATAGCAAGATCTAGGCCAGCTGAAGACATATAATGAGGTCTTGTCTCAAAACACAAAACAAGCAAAAGCAGGAAGGAGGGAGCCAGAGAGAGGGGGGAATATAGAGAGTGAAAGAGATGGGGGAGAGAGAAAATTTACTTAGAAGACTGAATTCCCGTCCCACTTTTTTTTCCTTCAGATTTCTGCTCTCAGCCTGGACAACAACCAAGAAGAATTATTTCCCTAATGGACAAGAGACCCTTTCATCTTTTGAATCCCCTTGGGACGAGGCCCCAATGACCTTCCTCACACTTGGTGACACAACCGTCTAGCTGGCGCTTTGCTTGACTCCTTTGACTGCACCCGTGGAATTTGACTGTGCCGCTGCCATGCATGGTGTGCCTGTCCAAGTGGTCCTGGGACTTTTCCAACTCACTGGTCACCACGGTCTGGGCTTGAGCCAGAAGTACATGGTAGTGCCTGCTCCACAGTTGCCGTCTTGCCCAGACACCAGGCTGCCTTCACAGCTGCAGGTTCTGCGGCAGAGTGCAGGGACACGAGGCCCTGAGTGCCTTCACAGCTGCAGGTTCTGCGGCAGAGTGCAGGGACACGAGGCCCTGAGTCGTCTTATGCTCTAACTCTTCTTGCAGTTCCCCGAGGAGCCCGTCCCGGCCTGTACCCAGAACCCCTCAGCTTCCTTGTTCACTCTGCCCCACGCCATTGCCAGACGCATGGTGTACACTTCTGACAATCATCCTCACACCCTTGCCACTGGGCCTGGCTTCTAGCCGCTGAATTCTTCACCCTACAGTCTGCCCATTGTCTCTGCCCGTTCCTTCCCCTGTGAATTTAAGTCTTCTATGTTTTCCTAAAATTTATCCATTTTGCTCTACATTCCAAATATAACATAATATATAATATATGATTATATATTATAATATATAATAATAGGATGTATAATATAAATTACTATATGTAATTTCATATCTTTAACTTTGGTTAATGTTTTGACTCATGCCGCCATCCCAACCACTCATCTGCCCACTAAATACTCAATCCTCTTACTCACGTGGCCAATCTCTCACCATCTACCAGGTCCCCAATCTCAGCCTTTAATCCATCTACTGAGTATTTGCCTCCTCTCTCTCTCTCTCTCTACTCTTTCATAACCTTCTTAGTTATTCATCATTTCTGCATCTACCCAAACTCAATCAATCCTCTTACCAATCCGCAAGCCAACCTTGCAAAAACACAACCTCCATCAATAATCCTACCCCCCCCCACTGCTATTATGTGTGGAATCTTTAATGTTCCCCAAAAGCTAGCATGTCAAATGAAGCCCTGGTCACTTGACGCTGTTGGGAAGCCTTAGGAGGTGAGAATCTACTTGGAAGAATAAGGCTATCGAAAGCATTCCCTTCAGGGATGTACTGATACTACTGTCCCCTTCTTCCTGCTTTGCAGCTGCCATGAGAAGAAGGAAGTGGGCAGCTTTCTTTGCTCCACCACACATTTCCCCCATGATCATCTGCCTCCAGACAGGCTCAAATCAATGAGTCCAACTGAAACAGTGAAAATAAAGTTTCCTTTTTAAAATTTACAAATATTTTATTTAGAATGTGTATGCAAGTGCGCGCGCGCACACACACACACACACACACACACACACACACACACACACACACACACCATAGATACATGTGGAGTACAGAGCACAACATTCAGGCATCAGTTCCTTCTACCATGTGGGTCCTGAGGACCAATTTGAGGTCATCAGGCCTAGCAGCAGGGACTTTTATAAACTGAGCCATCTCACAAACCCAAATTTCCCTTCTCTTAAGTTGAATATGTTAAATATTTTATCACAACAACAAAAAGCTGACCAACCTTATATTCTGTTCAGTCTACTTCATCTAGTTTTTCTTCCATCCAACCATCCATAATCCATCATCCAGATCCTCATCATCCATCCTCATCATCCAGATAACCCCCATTCCTCTCCTCTTTCTACTCATCCACCGTCCTCCCAGCTGTCATTTTACTAGACACCACCCACCTGTGTGTCTGCTTACATACCTACCAGCTGCCCTGCCATTCTTGCTCCAACAGAAAAATATACTGAGAGTTTATTTTGAACTTCTTCATGCTTTAGGGACCAGTTGTTAGACATTGACCTGTTTAGGGAATCTCAGGACATATTTGGGAGAACAGACGTGCAGGTTAGCAACTCAGTTAGATGCACTGGGAACAATGCAGGGAGTGCTACTCTGAAGAAGCATGAGTTGCTAGATACAGGTTCTCCCTGAATCATTCCTTCTGAGCAGAAGATTTGTCCTAGAACAGAGGTCTAGGGAGGCCATGACCTTCAATGAGAGAAGAAGGAAAGCAAGGCATGGACCCAGATGTGTCCTAACCAGCTTGTTCCACCAATTAAGTTAGAAGGAGCCCAAACCCAAGCTACAACCTAGACCCCAAAGATGTAAATTTCAAGTCACTTGTTTGGAAAATGGCACTTACATGTGTTGTCATGCAACTCAGACAGGTCAGACAGAATGTGGTAGAATGAATGACCAGCACATGTTTAAATTTCCCAAGAGAGTTTAAGGAAGAAGGCAGACTTAGCCAGGGGGTCTGGGGACTTTGGGAAGCTTGTCGACTGTGCATCATCAGCCTGTCTCTATGGCAACGCATCACTTTGTTCCCTGCGGGTTAGCACTGGAATCCTTACCTTCAAGTCTACAGAGTATTATCCACATCACCATGAGAAGGCTCCCTAGTGGCCTCTGGTGGAGGCTCCCTTCTACCCTGGAATTCTGCTTCTCATACTCATTGGATGACACTTGTCACGGTCCTCACTTCTCCGGCTCCCATAATCCCTGTCTACAAAATAAAATACCTCAGGGCCTTCCTGCCTAGAAACATCAGATTTTCACTTTTTCTGGCTGAGTTTGAGAGAATACAAAGGTCCAAGAAGGTCAGGCTGGCTTCAGACATCTTGGCTGTTAAGTAGAAATTCTGATTCCCAGACTGGAGACCTAAGTCAATGGGAAAGTGTTTCCTAGTCTATTCAGACCTGGGTTTGATCCCCAACACAAAAACTCAATCTATTCTTTAGCATTTTTACAGGATCATCCTTGGGTGGCATTGCAAAATTGCTGAGATGGTATTGCCATAGGGGCTCTGCCTTTGACCCTGAATTTTGTGATCATATTATCTTTAAATGATGAGACAGTGGATTCCATCTGTCTGTTGTCTGTCTCGTGAAACAAGTTGAGAACAATGACCTACATGATTTGTTAAGAACCCAGCCAAAGAAAGCAGAAACCCTATTGTTTACATTGCCCTTCACAGAGTCTGTCTCCCCTCTAGCCTGGGGTTGAACAGCTGATGCTATGGATTCATGCCTTAGGAAGAGCTCGGGTTTGTACCCTTCCTTTTCCAGCAGCACACTTTGAATCCAGCAGGATTGTTGACCTGGATTCCGCTGTTGTCTCTCAGATCTGAGTTTTCATTCCAGTGTCTCCTCAGGCAACAGAGTTTGTGTCACATGACGAGTCTCCTGTGGTCTGCAACATTCAACAACACTGTGACAAACACTATCAAAAGACTCTGATGTCAGCTTGATTTCCCCTGCTTTCTGTGGCAACATCTTTACTCTTTGGCCTTAATCAAAAGAACAGAGAGAGAGGGGGGGGGAGTCCAAAGAGATGATAAAGGGGAAAATGGTGGGAAGAAACTGTAGGAGAGGAAGAAGGGAACACAGAGACTGTGGGTTTCCCACGGGAGTAAACGTTAGATACTGACATGAAAAGATACCAAGACATTAAAGACACTGTCAGAGACGAGTGGAAGGGTGTGCTCATTGGCAGGGATGTTCTAGAAAGAGGTAAGTGAATGGGAAAGAGGGGATTCCACATCAACTTAATGTAGCATGGACAGTGTAGAGTATACTTTGCTCACTACTCTGGTTGACCAGAAGGCTAGCCCTATGCAGTCCAAGCAGCAAGGGTATAGTAAAATGTGGATTTTCTCCATAGATGTGGGCTGTGAATGTCATTAGCTCCACTCATGATCTCAAGAACTTAGTGTTCCCAGCAAGATATAGGTGACTGGCTTCTCTCCAGCCTACAGCCAAGGTAGAGACCATTGAGAGAATCAGCTGGGCTAAGGCAGCCAGGCATTTCCATGTTCTAGAACTACCAGCCAGGCCAGCCTCTCACCATAATGAGGCTTTCCGGATTTGTGAGCCTCCTCTTGCTATTTGGCCTGCTTGCAAATGTCCAAGGATTTAGTCTGACTGATTTTCTGTTTTCCAGTAAGTACTGGTTTTCTGTTGTTGTCTGGGAGAAAGGGAGGTTTGCTGGGAGGAAGAGACAAAGAACAATTCCTCAGGTTTAGGTTGTCTTTCTCCATGGATGTGATTTGGGAGAGGAGAGAGACACTTAGAAGGTCTCTTCTGTGTGATGTCTTTTGTGTTACTACAGGGGCCAGGGTCTGGGGAAACACTCCTTGAAGTCCCTTTGAAGAGGTGCCTTCCTTGGGGAGGTGGAGAAGAATCATGGATCCAGCATTTATGGGTTGGCCCCTCACCCCTCAAGAGAGGCAGACCCCTTTCCTGGGAGCTCTGGGGTCAGAGTTGGTGGGTTAGATACTGGTAGCCAGGCAAGCTTGAGCAAAATATTTAAATTTCATGTAGCCTCTCTGAGACTTGATTTCTTCAATTTAAAACAATTTTGACCCTACAGCTTTGTGATGAAGAGCTGAGACAGAGTTAAACTTCCTTCATAGTGACTGCTCTACAGTCATTAACTAACATTTGTTTGTATTTACTATCTCGTTTAATCCTTGTAACAGATCTACAAGGGTAAGTCCTAGTAACTCCCCTATTTTATTCTTTTAATTAAAATTTAAACATTAAAGTACGATTACATCATTTCCCCTTCCTTCCCCCTCCAGTTCCTCTCATCTACCCCCCCACCTCAACCCTCTCAAAATTATGGTTTCTTCTTCTTTAATTACTTTGTTGTTGTTGTTGTTGGTGGTGGTGTGTGTGTGTGTGTGTGTGTGTGTGTGTGTCTGTCTGTCTGTCTGTCTGTCTATCTGTCTGTCTGTCTATCCATCTGTGTCTATTTAAGTATGTGTGTGACCATAAATAAATAAATAAATACCAAGTGCTGGGTCTATTTAGTGTTTCTTGTATGTATATATCAGGGCTGACCCCTTGGTATTGGATAAGCAATTACAAGGCTCTTCCCTGGGAAACACTATTTCTCCTGCTCTCAGCACCCCCAGGTTTCATATAGCTCCTTGAACTCCCCTTTCAAAGATGAGGAAACTAGAAGACATAGAATTTAAATAATTTGCCCAGGATTACACAGCTGCCAGCATTCAACCCACCAACGATCTTCCTAAGATGATATTTTTATTAATCCATTGAGTATTTCATACAATGTATTTATCATCACGTTTATCCTCCTCCACACATTCATCCCAGTAGAGTTAGAATTCCAAAACCCAGCTGTGACTGGGAGAAGAATCACTGTACAATGTCGCCCTCTAGAGGAACTCACAAGCAGGGCTACAGCAAGACTGATGAGCTAGAGCAGCCTACAGCAAGCAGTGCTGTGAGTGAGGCGGTTTCACTCCTGAAGAGGCCTTCCCAGTGTCTTGAGGCAGTTCAGGTGATTAGGGTACGGAGGAGGTGCTCAGGATGTCTAATGCCTAGAAGCCAAGGTTGTTGCTAAAGGTCCTACAAAGCACAAGACAGTTCCCATGGTAACAGCCTAAATGTCACCTCACCAGTGGTTGGAAACTCCTGCTTCAGTGGCTGGGAGTAGACCAAGCATAGAGGTAAGAAGGTAGAGAGAGGGGGAGGTTGACGAGGTGGGGTGGTAATGTAGGAAACATGACTGAGGGAAAGGATGCCTTCAGGGCGAACACATTTGGAACACACGCTTCCCTGGACTCCCCAAACCGAAGGCCCCGAGACTCAAAGGCTGCTTCTTCCTTAGGGAGATGCCCCCGATTCAGAGAGCACTGCGAACACAAAGAGAGGGACCTGTGTACCAGGGACAAGGATTGCCAGAAAAAAGAGAAGTGCTGCGTCTTCAACTGCGGAAAGAAATGTTTAAACCCCCAACAAGGTAATACGAAGGGCTTTGAAATACCACACTCCTTGACCCAAGTGTCCTCTCCTGCCCACCCAGGCTGCCATTGCCCCAGCTCACTGAGGGCTGGTATCTAGGTAAGACTGCTGAATTTGAGGTCCTGCGGTTTAGATTCATTACAGCTCCTGATATGGTGCACGGAAGTGATGTTCTTATCCTAGCAGGTAATGTATGAGCCTCAGTTTCCCCCAAATAAATGATGGGTGCATGGGTGGGATTAAGTCGGGCTGTTTCTTGACTGTTTTTCACTGCCATGATTTTCTGAGTCCCCAAGTGGCCGTTGCCATTCTAACATATACTCACATTATCGGTGACAAGCAAAGAGATTTATCTTTCCTAGCTTTTGATGGCTAAGCAATTGCCTCTCTGCCCATATGAATCCAACTTTGTACTAGGAAACCTGCCCTGACATTCCAGACCAGAGCTGCGGTCTCAACTCTGTCCCCGCCTCTCTGGACTCCCAAAAGGTTGTCTGGGGTTTTTCATTTGTTTAGACATAGTTGCCAAGTGTTTCTGATGCCCATATTTTTAGTTCATTTGCACTGATAAAATATATAAGACAGATTAATTATGAAGAAAAGGGGTTCATTTAGGTCAGTTTTTGAGGCTAGGACCACACATCCAGCATGGACCCTCTAGGAGATGACAAGCCAAAGAGGTCACATGATCAATAGAAACCAAGAGGGACTCAGGATCCTATAATCCTTTTTGGAGGACATGTTCCGGGTGATCTAGGAGTGTCCCACTCAACCTTACTTCTTGAAGGTACCACAACCCTGTGGACTAAGGCTCTAAAACATGAGCCTTGGGGTGGGGAAACATAACCCATACACAGACCACAGTGCCTGTAATAGCACTTGACGTGTTCACTGTGGTCAGGGGCACTGCAAACGTCTCAAGGTAATCAGACTCAGAGCTGAGTTCAGAATAAAGGGCAGTAGCAGACAGGAGACTGGAAAGGGTCACCAGGAAATGACTTACAGGGAGTGAGCACGGTGCTAGTTATCGGGAAAGGCCATTGGTGTGTTCGGATCACCCAGTACCGGTCTGATGAGCTCGAAGAAAGACTCTCACCTTGAACCACGGCCTCAAAAGTCATCTTAATCCTAAGAACCATGGGCTGGAAGACAAAGCAAAAGCAATGACATGACCAACATGTATGGCCCTCCGAGCAGGAGGGGGTGACTGGAGGGACTGGGGACTTCCAGGAGAAGTAATGGATTCAACTGGAGACACAGCTCAGTGAAGCAAGAGAGAGTGACATTTGAAAAGTACCGAGGAGCCTGAGATGTGATGGTATAGCAGATCAGGCAGACAAGGTGAAATGTCAGGGGTCTCAGCTCCAGCTTTTAGCGTTGTCTTTTTTGTTTTGTTTTGTTTTTGGGGGTTTTTTGTTGTTGTTGTTGTTGTTGTTTGGTTTTTGGTTTTTGGTTTTTTGAGACAGGGTTTCTCTGTATCTTTTTGGAGGTTGTCCTGGAACTCACTCTGTAGACCAGGTTGGCCTCGAACTCACAGAGATCCACCTGCCTCTGCCTCTCGAGTGCTGGGATTAAAGGCGTGCACCACCAACGCCCGGCTTTTTAGCGTCTTTTTTAAAATCTTGAACAAATAAATATTTTTTTCTCTGTGCTTCCATTTCTTCACATGACGGAAGGACTAATGCTAGCAGCTCTTTTAGATCCCTTGGAACGCTTAGAGCAATGCCAGGCGCAGGAGAGGGCCACCTGAAGCCCATTAGTTTAAATGGCTCATCTTTCTTGCTTGAGAGCTAAACAGCAGCGACACATGTCTTCTTTGTCTCTGAAAGCATTTGGCTAATGGTGGGTTCTCGGGGATGATGTACGCAGCTCAGTCAGGCTGGCCGCCTGCTAGGAATCAGGGCCGCAAAATGAAGTCAGACACAATCCCTGCACGCTGGAGATTCATGATCCCAGGAACAAGACTTGGGGCATTTTTGAAAGAGTGATAAATGAGCACACAAGCTTCGGAAACAAGGTAGGGGAATGCAGGCTTGATTCAGGCAGCTGCCACGGTGTGGGATATGGAGTGGAGTTAAAAGAGATGTCGCAGAGGAGCTGGCTTTGAGAAAGGTTTTGAAGGAAGAATAAGCATTCTGCTAGCAAGCAACCAGGTGTGTGTGCACGCAGCGGTACGGTGATGCGGTGGAGCACGGTGTGCTGAAACGAAAACCGCCATAGCATGGGGCTTAAAGGAATTCCACAGCAGAGGAGGCCAGAGCCAGGCATGGGAGCCAAAGATGAATGGCCTGTGAGTCCCCCGACGACCTTGTAACTGAGGACGTGGCATGATCATCTTGTTTCCAAATCCATTAGCTCCTTCTCCCTGGTAACCTATGTGGCAGATGGATAGGGAAGCCAGGAATGAAGGCAGGGCGATGAGTCATCGGAGGCGGCCTCAATAGAGCGTGTGGAGACTCTGGCTTGAAGAGCCTGGCAGAGAGGTGAACTGTGAGGAGGCAGCAAGCCGCTGCTGTGGTCAAGGAGCTTAGGGTCAGCTGGAGCCTGTGTTAGCTTGCTAGTGCCACAGGAATAAAGCACCACGGCCCTCTGGCTTCAGCGATAGTAATGTGTCTTCTAACAGTTCTGCAGGCTCAGAGGAAGAGACTACGTGATAGTGAGGTTCCAGGGAGGTCAGGAGAAAATGTCATGAAGTCACTTCTCATGGGTTCTGGGATTGATCTCAGGTCCTCGGGCTAACATAGTAAGTGCCTTTATCCCCTGGCTCATGCGTGAGAACTTTATCACACATCTACTAAGTAACTGGTGGCTTGTTGGCAATCTTTGGCATCCCTGGTCCCCACCTTCAAGTCCACACAGCACCCTCCCTGCAGGTGCATCTCTGTCTGGGCTCACTCCTTTTTCAGAGGGTCCCAGTCATATTGGATTAGAAGCCCTCAGTGCTCAAATATGTAACCGCCTTAATTGATTCTATCTACAGGCTGGAGATGCAGCTCAATAACAGAGTGCTTGCCTAGCATGCATGGGGTCCCCAGTCCATTCTTAGGACCCCCAAAAAAACCCAGGGCAGGGGAGGGTGTCACCTGTGTGGTAATTCTTTTGCTTTGTTGTGACAAAATATCCAACAGAAACAACTCATGTACAAAAGGCTTCTTTTGGCTCGTGGTTTTAAAGGGTCTCTGTACACCACTATGGAAACAGCATGACCGAGTTCATGGCGTCAGAAGCACATGGTGAAGGCTCCTCAAATGGCTTCAGACCAGGAAGCAGGCAGCTTCAGGAAGCTGGGCTATGCTACAATCTTAAAAAGCCCTCCCCTAGGGACCTACTTCCTCCAGCCAGGCCCCATCTTCTAACAGGTCCCACAGCCTTCTAAAATACCATCCCCATCTGGATGAAACATGTTCAAAACCACCCGCAAGGATCCTCCTGCCTCCGGGGCTGCAGATACTCACCATACCATCTCCCGGCAAGGACGTGCAACATGGTTGTGGTTTTGAACCTCTAGAGTATGAGAGGGAAAGGGAATCTGTTCCAAATTCATTCGTGGTGGCTTTACAGTGGCTCTCGGGGAAAGGGATGGCATCGTTCTGTTTGGGGTTGCACACTGAGTTCTCCACCCTGGGCTCTCCCTGCAGACATATGCAGCCTACCAAAAGACTCTGGCTACTGCATGGCTTATTTCCCTCGCTGGTGGTACAATAAGGAAAATAGCACGTGCGAACTCTTCATCTATGGAGGCTGCCAGGGAAACAATAACAACTTCCAAACCCAAGCCATATGCCAGAACACCTGCAAAAAAAAAAGTGAGTCTTGGAGGCCCCACCTAAAATCCTCACCAGAGCTGTCCTGGGAGGTGTGGGGGTGTGGTTGGCCCGTCCCAAGGTAGCTATGCCCTTCTCAGACCTGACAGAACTAGAACTGATCAGGAATGGTTGGGGGAGGGGCGGCATTGTGAAGATGGGAAGGTATGGAGGAGTTAGCAAACAGAAGGGATTTAGGAGGGTGTGGAGGGGGATGTAGAAGAGTCCCAAAGAGACTAACTGCAAAATGATCAGAGTGTCCAGCCCCGCCTGGGCACACTGAGCAGGGAACCATCCCAGGCCATCAACTTCTTTACCTCCTTTTGCCAGCAATCCAATTCTGCTCATTTTTCCTCCAGAGAAGCTGGTCTTTGTTTGAATCGTCTTTTGCATGGGCACACAAACACCGAGTTTCACGATATTCTCATCCCTAGATGTTTGCCCTTACCTCACATTCAAGTCCCATTGACAAACCTTGCTTTGAACCTCCTCCCACGGAAAGATATAGAAACATAGCTCAGGCTCCTGCGGTAAACTGAGTCTAAGATTCTCAGCTGTATCTTGCATCTGTGTTCTCAGCAGGCCCTTCGATCTGAACAGAGAGCATGCTGGGAAAACCACCAGGATTTTGCTCCTGCTCCGAGCTCTGTGTATCCACTGGATTCTCCAGAATGGCTTCTGGTGACTGCTCTCAATATTCCAAGGCAAGGCCTTAGGTCCTCCCAACATTGAATCCCAGAATGCCATCCCTTCCCATCCATCCAGTTCCTGGCCATAATACCTCCTCTTAGGAACCATCACTAACCATGCCTCCCCGGCTCAGCTCCACCGTCAGGGGCTTCCTGTTTATTTCCATGTCGTTCTCAACTTCATTCAGTAAAGTATTTGGCTTCACCCTGTGCCTCTGAGACTGGGTGATTCACACATCTTCAGCATGGAGAGAGTGAGACATTGGTGAAGCTTCTGGCGAAATCTCTCAAGGGTATATGGATGCCACATCCTTGAAAATTGGGAAGCCCAGGGATTTTTTTTTCTCCTCTGTCTAGGGTCTGTGGGCAATGCCCTGGTTTCTGTCACAGAAACTGACTCTGGGATAAGGGAAGGGGTTAAGCAGCTTCTTTGGGAAATCCCCCAAAGAAATGCAAGCAGGCTGGGAACTGTGGCTAGTGATTCCCTGGGAGTGGGGGATGTAGACGGCAGCTGCGACTGTCGCTGTCACACCTCAACGTGCTTGATTTCCAGCCAACAACCTGCAACAGCAAGAATGTGTTCCAGCACACACTTTTTTTTTAAAGATTTTATTTATTTATTATATATACAACATTCTGCTTCCATGTATATCTGCACACCAGAAGAGGGCACCAGATCTCATTACAGATGGTTGTGAGCCACCATGTGGTTGCTGGGAATTGAACTCAGGACCTCTGGAAGAACAGTCAGTGCTCTTAACTTCTGAGCCATCTCTCCAGCCCCCCAGCACACACTTCTTTTTTTCAATCTAATTTTTTTAATTGCATTGATTTTTGAGTTCGTTGCTGCTGGTAAATTGTAACATACTCCCACTAGGTATATTTTAGGGAGTCAGATGAACCAATAAAACATGCCTCTCAATTTTCTTCATCTATCTCCAGTGACAAGGAAGTGGAGATACTGGCCCAGTGTTTGCCTTCTGGATGCCTGAGATATTAAACCCCTTACGCATGTTCCAGAATGTTCCACATGCAAGCTGCGTAGGCTCCAAGGGATCCAAAAAAATTATGGGCAGAAGTAAAGCGAAACTTTGGCACCCGACAGGATGTGATTCAACCACAAGCATGGGGAAACCAATGCAGTGTTCTGTTGTGGATGAACATACCCTGGAGGGTGGGAGCATGGCCGAGGGAGTAAAGAGCTTGCCATACAGCCATGAGGACCCAAGTTCAAATCCCCAGAATGCATAAAAAGCTAGGTAGGGTAGCACATACCTGTAATTACAGGGCTCCTACATTGAGATAGGCAGAGAAGACAGAGGAATCCCAGAAGCTTGTGGGCCAGTGGGCCTAGAGTGGAGGGGGCTGGGAGGGGATGACAGAGACCCTGCCTCAAACCAGGTGGATGAGGAAATTACATCAGAGATTGTCCTCTGATCACCACGCATAGGCCATGGAAACCTCAACACACACACACACACACACACACACACACACACACACACACACACACACACAGAGAACTGTATAATTCATTTATGTGAAATATCTAGAACAGGCATGATGGTTCAGGCCTGTATTCACAGATACTCAGGAAGCAGAGGCAAGAGGATTGCAGGTTCAAGGCCTGTCTGGGCATGTTAGTAAAACCCTATGTTAATTCTCAAAAAAAAAAAAAACAGAAAAAAAAAGAAAAGAAAGGATGGAAGGAAAGAACGAAGGAAGGGCTAGGAAGGTAGCTCAGAGATAGAATGTTTATTCATGTGAGACCCTGGACTGGAGACCCACCACGGACAAAGAAAAAGAGCAGAAAAACCAATAAGATGGGAAGCAGTCATGGGGTTGGAGGCGAGAGAGTGATTGCTCATGAACTGAGTTTACAGGTAGAGTGATAAAAACATTTTGGAACCAGTAGTTATAGGTGTACTAAGAAAAGAAAGAGACAGATTCCATATCGCTGGCCTGAAAATGGTGGATTTTATCTGGAGGAATTCTATACAGTTTTCAAAGTGGATGCCTTGGAAACGTCTCTCCCAGCTTCAGATGAAGTCCTGGGTGAGTCAAGTGTATCCGGCTACAGCCAGCAGTCCCTGCTGTGTCCACACTGCATCCACTCCCTCACTAAGGCGCCAAGATTTGAGATGAGGGAATGAATATTCCAGAAATATCAGAGAGCCACTTGGTGCCTCCTGCAGCTGAATCTGAGCCATTGCTTTCAGTGGCCTCTGCTAACCTGCTCTTGTGACAGAGGCCCTGAGAGCCACCACTTTCCTGTCTCTGAGACAACATCATCTGTCCACATGCTCACCAGGAACCCTAGGTCTGTGCTCTCCTGACAGTCTTTACCCTTGGATGGTGACAAAAGAAGGCAAGTGGGCCAAAGACAAGAGAGAGAAAAACCAAAGGGAGTTGAAGGGTAAGAAGACAGGGGCTCAGGCAGAGTCGCCGAATAGGAGGAGGAGGCACGGGGTAAAAAGACAGATAATTAGCCCAGAGCTGAGGACAAGAAGCAGCCAAGGCAGGACTGAACTTGATTGGTCTAGTGCTTGCCTCGAGTGCATGAAGCCCCCAGCCCCACCCCCAGCCCCACGTAAACCAGGTGAGGTGATGCAGGTCTGGAATCCCAGCACTGTGGAGGTGGATGCAGAAGAAGCAGTCTTCCACTACGTGGTAAGTTTGAGACCAGCCTGGGATCGATGGGACCCTGTCTCAAAAAGAAAGAGGGGCAGAAGGGGTAAGCTTGGAAGGAAGGAAAGAGGAAACAAAGGGAGGGGGAGAGTTGAAGCAAAACAGAAAAATGAGAACTTGGCATGAGGAGAAAAGAAAAACCCCAAAGACAAGGTACTGTCTGTAGTGGTGATCTTGGCTGTCAAGTAGACCCAGATGGGAAGGGGTAGCCCCAGCTGAAGGAATGTCTCCATCAGATGGACTTGTGGCCATGACTACGGGGAATTTTCTGGATTCTAACTGATGGTGGAAAACCCAGCATGCTGTGGGGAATACCATTCCTGGACAGATGACCCTGGGTTGTGGAAGGAGAGCAACTGAGCAAGTAAGAGGAAGCAAGCCAGTAAGCAGTGTTCCTCCATGGTCCCGAGTTCAGTTACCACCTCCAGCTTCCTAACTTGGCTCCCTTCCATAAGAGACTGAAACCGGTGAGTGGAGATAAACACTCTCCTCCTTAAATTGCTTTGAGTCAGGGTTAGTCTCAGCAACATAAAAGCAACCTAGAAAACTCCCAATCTCCAATCTGCCTCCAAGAAAAGAAAGGTTCTAGAATCCACATAACTTTGCTAAGAGATTCTAGAAGACCCCAAGCAAGTGCACCCCTCTCCCTAGTAGGCCAGAGAGCCAGAGAACCTCAGATTGCAGAATCCCAGACCACAAGTCAGAGACCTTTCCTCCAGTGTGCACTGTGGGTACAGTTAGGCCACTGATGGCCTCCGGGAGGGAACTTGACTGGCTCCTGTCCAGAAGTGCTTCCTAGGAGGTTGGGGCACAGAGCCACGGAGCAGAGGCCAGAGCCACTGACCTGCTCCTCCCAGCTTAAGACCTCCAGCCTGCCTACTGCTTCCTAAAATGAGACTCTGGGGACTTCTGCCATTCCTGGTCCCCTTCATCTTCCCGTGGGGCATCTGGGAACCTGAGCTAGCAGAGGGGTTCTTTGCCGGTAAGTACTGAGGTACAGTTCTTATCATAGAGAGAAGAAACTTCCTGGGGCTAAAGAACAAAACCTGCTGCACATGGGACTGTTTTCCCACTGCAGCCCCGGACCCTGGGTGGGAGTGAGATGCTTGGGATCATTGTTTTCCCACCATCCTGGAAGATGTCCTGGGTGAACACAGCATCCTCGGTCTGTGGCAGTTGAGTCCCCACAATTATAAGGAATTATTCATGGAGGTGCCAGGGCTAGTGTGCACTAAATGGACACTGGGGGTTAAATAGCCAATGGGTTTTCATTTAAGGGATGAGCCTCTCCCTTCACCACCACTGAGCTCCCCAAAGCTGTCCTGTGTCCACACAGGACCTTACCTGTGCGCTAAGGAACAGCCTCCAGGGTCCCTTCAATGGTGAAATTGGAGACGTCACCCTTACCCGCTAAAACACACTGAGCACTAGAAGGTAGTTGGGGAAGTGAGCTCTTCGAAGGCCACGTGACAGGTGGGAATTCCAGGTCCACTCCTTGGTAGCTGCAGGGCCCTGTGAACGTCCACAGAGCCTCCCTTGCTGTGGATGCCTCTGTCCACTGTGGAACACAGAGGGCTCCCTGGGAATTGTGTAGCGAGGAGGAAGGAGAAAGGCCATGTGCTCGGCAAGTGCTTCGTCAATATCAGTCTCTGTGCTTTTAGCCCAGGCGTCTTGACCAAAGCTTTTCAAACTTTGCTCCATTCACCTTCAGGACAACAATCTAGGCAAACAGTGAGAGCTACAGGGGCCAACCAAGGACAAAGCCAAATGATCAGAGCAGTTCCAAAGAGTGGTCCCTCTTGCAGGGGACTCTTGTGGGTGGTGGAGAGAGGGCTAGGGAAGGTCCTGGGGGTTAGGTGCTGAGTCATACAGTGGAGCTGAGGCCTGTGCTGTGAAACCCTGAGGGTTACCTCGTCCTAGTGACAGCTGAGGGGCAGACAAGCTTCCTCAGCTCCACAGTGATGCCCTGGGACCGGGAAGGGAGACAGTATCTCCTTCAACACCTCGAGGAACCACACCTTCTCCTGTCATAGGGTCATGCCCAAGAGTCAGAGTAAAGTGTGAAATTGAAGAAAGAAACGAATGTACAAGGCACAGACACTGTCCAGAGAAGAAGAGGTGCTGCTTGTTCAGCTGTGGGAAGAAATGCTTAGACATCAAACAAGGTACTTCTCTGACCCCCTGACTGCCATCAGCCTCCAGCTTTCTCATAGCCCCACCACCCATGAGGGCTAGTGCTGACCTATACTCTTTTCTCTTCTGCTCATATCCTTGAGCTCTACAAAAGACTGTCAAAACTATTCACCCATCTTATCAATCAACAAGTATTTAGGGGTATTAGTGACCCCGATGATGGACTCCACCTACTCACTGTGGCCACCAAAGATTTTCCTGGGAGAAGCACATAGGACTTGGAATCTGAAGGATGGGTCCTATGCAGGCAAACACAGGGAGGAGTAGCCTCCAGACACCAGCAAGCACTCTCTGGAAGGCCCTGTGTTAGGAAACATGATCAGGCCTGGAAATACTGGCAAGCAGAGAAGGACAAACTGCACTCAGGGTGTGGACTTGATCCTCCTGGGATCCCAACCTCTGACTGTGGTCTGCTTGGGTTTTGGTTGCTGAACCAAGGAATCAAGGCTGACCTCAACCTTGACATCCTCCTGCCTCAGCCTTCTGATGTCTCGGTTCTAAGTGTGCACTAGCATACTTGGTGGGTCATCTTCATTTTCCTCCTTCACCAGCTATGTGACATTAGCAGAGCCACGGCACCTCTCCAAGTCTCATGTCCTCTACCTGCACAATGAGA